GCAGGTAGTTCCGGTTGAGTCTCGGTAGTTGCCAATTGCTTTCTTCAAGCAATGATACGTGAAAAACTGGGTGTATTCTTGAAGTAGATGGTAAGTTCAAACGATAAGCCACCTCACCAACTCGCTCAACACCTCAAAAGGACCGTAGTACCTTGCCGCAAGTTTGGTATTAACCCCGGGAGAAACCGAATTCTGTCTATGAAGGCGTAATTTCAGAAAAACCCATTCACCTACTTCAAATTTCCTCTCTTGTCTTTTGAGGTCTCGCTTGGTTCTTCATTCTGACTCGAGCCCTTGTAAGATGCTCCTTTAGTTGCCTTAAAATTTCATCTCTATCCTCCAACTCTTGTTGAACCGCTTCTACCCTTATTTCTCCTTGGATCCCTCTTACTAAAGATGGAGGTTTCCTCCCATACACCGCCTCGAAAGGAGTCATTTGAGTGGACTCATGGTAGGATGTATTATACCAAGTACTCAGCCCACTGAAGCCAAACCACCCACTGTTTGGGTTGATCGGTGATAAAACACCTCAAATATGTCTCTAAGCTCCTATTCACCACCTCCGTTTGACCATCCGATTGTGGATGATAAGCAGTACTCATATTAAGGGTTGTGCCTTGTAGTTTGAAAAACTCTTTCCAAAATTGACTTATGAAAATGGGGTCTCTGTCGTCGACTATGGAATTTGGGATCCCATGCAACCTCACTATTTCTTTCACAAATGTTTCAACCAACATTCTAGCCGTGTAGGGATGCTTAAGTGGAACAAAGTGGACATACTTTGTTAGCCTATCTACCACTACCGAATTGCTTCATATCCCTTAGATTTAGGCGGACCCGTAATGAAGTCTAAAGATATATCTTCCCAAACCTTTTCCGGAATTGACAAAGGTTGTAGCAACCCTCCTGGTGTAGTTGCTAAATATTTTTGCCTTTGGCAAGTGTCACACGCTCTCACATACCGTTGCATCATCCTTTTCATCCCCTTCCAAGTATATGTTAGCCGCCAACCGCCTATAGGTTCTGAAATAGCCAGAATGGCCCCCTTGAGGAGTCACATGGAATTCTTCCAAGATTTTTGGAATCCAATCAGAGTTGTCCGCCACCACCAATCTGTTTTCAAATAATAGAACTTCGTGTTGGTAAGTAAAACCTGCAGGAACCTCTTCACCTTTCTTGATCTTTTCAATAATTTCCCTTAATTTTGCATCCTCATGCACTTCAGCCACAATTGCTTGACTATCCATCCACACCGGAAGACTCCTTAATTCACCACTTTCCATCTGTCTTGATAAAGCATCAGCCCCTTTATTGTCCGCCCCAGGCTTGTAAATAATATCAAAGTTATAACCCAACAATTTAGCTATCCAATTCTGCTGGTTACCAGAGATAACTTTCTGTTGAAGGAGCTGTTTAAGACTCTTATGATCTGTCAAAACTGAGAAACGTCTCCTAATAAGGTAAGGTCTCCAATGGTTCACTGCAAGAACTACGGCCATCAATTCTTTCTCATACGTGGATTTGTTCAAATTCTGAGTACTAAGAGTCTTACTAAAGAATGCCACTGGATGCTTGTCTTGCATCATTATTGCCCCTACTCCCAACCCGGAAGCATCACACTCCACCACAAATTCCTTGTCGAAATTCGGCAATACCAGCACCGGAGCTGTAGTTAACCTTTTCTTCAATGTGTCAAAAGCTGTTTGAGCCTCATCTCCCCATTTAAATGCATCCTTCTTAGTCAATTTTGCCAAGGGTCGAACTATTTTACCATAATCACGAACAAACTTCCTGTAATAGCCTGTCAAACCAAGGAAACCTCTTACCCCTTTTACATTCTTGGGGATTGGCCAATTAATTACACTCCTCACTTTCTCCGGGTCTACCGCTACTCCCTCTTCTGATATGATATGTCCCAAATACTCCACTTGCCTCCTTGCCAAGAAACACTTCTTTTCATTGGCAAATAAAACTTGCTCTTGCAAAATTTGGAATACCTCCTCTAAGTGTTGCATATGTTCTTTCCAACTCTTAGAAAAGATTAAAATGTCATCAAAGAAAACCAATACTGATTTCCTCAACTTACCTCGAAATATATCATTCATTAGGCCTTGAAACGTCGAAGGAGCATTCATTAGCCCAAAGGGCATCACGAGGTACTCATAGTGACCCTCATGTGTCCTAAAGGCAGTCTTCTCTATGTCTTCTTCTCTCATCCTAACTTGATGGTACCCAAATTTTAAATCCAGTTTTGAGAAGAACTTTGCTCCATGCAACTCATCCAACAACTCCTCAATGACGGGAATTGGAAATTTATCTGGAATGCTCACCTTGTTCAACGCCTTGTAGTCTACACACATCCTCCACGACTTGTCTTTTTTTCTTACAAGAATCACCGGACTAGAAAATGAATTGCTACTGTGTCGAATAACCCCATTATCCCATAATTCCTTGACTTGACGTTCAATCTCATCTTTTTGATGATGTGCATATCTATAAGGACGCACGTTGATTGGGCATTGACCAGGATATAAGGTAATGCTATGTACTTTGGTTCTATTAGGGGGCAAACCCTGCAGTTCTTGAAAAACAGATTTAAATCGATCCAATAAGCCTTGTAAGTCATGTTTCGCATCTCGGTCCAACACTGTCACCAGCTCGCTTTCACTTTCCCCAACTTCCGCCCCTACCTTTTTAGTAGAGATCATCCCTTCTAGCGAGTTAAGGATGCCTTGTTTTTTATTGTGTTGCGTGGTTCCTTTTAATTCAACCCATTCACCGTTATGCACAAAACGAAGAGACTGAAATTTCCAATCAATAATCATCTCCCCCAAGGAAGCCAGCCATGAAATTCCTAACACAACGTCAATATCTTCAAGATTGAACAAATAGGCATCTAATACAAACGTCCGGTGGCCCAATTTAATATGAAGTTCTCGACACTTTCCACGCGTAATTGATTTATGGCCATCCCCCATCAAGATCTTCAAGTCTTTCGTCTCTTCTATCGACCATCCCATTGCCTCCACTAAACTTCTAGAGATAAAGGTGTGAGTGGCTCCGCTATCCACCAAAACACATACAGGAATGTCATGAATTTCCCCCTCAAGCTTCAATGTTTTCGGTTGCGACATGTCCTCACCTTGGTGCCACAGATTACGCAAGTGAAGAATAGAACATTCTCCATCAATTCGGTCCGTATCAGCCAAAATCACGTTCATCAGTCAGCATTAACTTCAATTGTTTTTCTGGACAAACGTGTTGAGGTGAATAGGCTCCACCACACTTAAAACAGAGGCCACGTTGCCTTCTATCCATAAGCTCATTATATGACATTTGTCTCACCCCACGATCTCTTAGTCCACCACCATTTCTTCCTTGCACCACCTCACGTGAATTGGACCCCGGCCCATTAGTTCCACCTGTGGAAACCTGACCCCTAGCCCCTTTCTCAATTTTTGTTTGATTTCTGAATACCACACTTGAATTGGGCCTTGTAGACCAATGCGACCCACGTGGATCCATCCTTCCTGGTGAAAAGACCAATCTGCCCTTACTCCTAAGTTCCACCTCTACTGTTCGTGTGACGTTAAGTAAACGTGAACGAGTCAGAGTCCCCATAGCTTGCATACTCCTCACACGATCACGAATATCTTCCTTCAATCCACGTGTAAAGAATGAAAAATACTGTTTATCTGGAATTCGGGGAATCTGTGCCATTAGAAACTCAAAATTCTGGATATATTGATCAACGTCATGGGTCTGCTCCAATGCCATAAGTTGATCGTATGCATTCCCTTTTCCCAAACCTCCATAACGATCCAATAATGCTTCCTTCAACTGTTCCAGGAGATATTTTCCCTTTCGTTGAGCAACGAATTGAAAAAATGTATCGTCCCTCCTTCCATACACAATTGCGCTAGACGCACGCGTACTGAATCTCTTGTATTTTGAATATGGAAATAAAGTTTTGCACGTGATATCCACCCGACGGGGTCCTCACCGTTGAACGACGGAAGTTCGACCTTCTTTACGGATTGTCTAAATTCCTCCAAGGTATCGCCCTAGAATTTGGGGTCTCCAGCACTCTCATTCCCTTCCCAAATGCCTTTTCCATCCTCCTTTTTGCCTTCGAATCCGTCATTGGATGAATGAACTCCCTCACCATGGTTCTCCGGCATCTCTGCCCTCCTTTTCTCTAGATCTTTGGCAAAGCCACTAAGGCTTTGAACAATAAACTCCATCATCTTCTTCTGATTTTCCTCCATCGTCAATCGTAAACCGGAAAGTTCCTTTTCCATCGTTTCCAAATAAGAATCCACCGTTTCATTAGACATCGGTGCTGCGTTCGTTGGTTTCTTGTTTCTTGGCATTCACGGAAGTGTTTGCATCCGGCAGGTCGGACCAATTTGTTTCGAATCAGAAAACTTGACAAACAGTATTATGGAAGAAATACGGGATGATTTTGATAATTTGACCAGAAAACAAGAATAACTATGCATCAAGAGAAATAACCTCCAGATACCCCAGAGCACTGCTCAGTATTACAAAGAGATATTCTCTCTCCATATCTGTAAAATCAAAATGCTCAGTGTTACAAAGAGATATTCTCTCTCCATATCTGTAAAATCAAAAAACCCCCTGCCCTCATAGAAACAAACCTATTATATAATTAATTATTTTCTCTCCCTTCTGACTAACTTCCACCTCAGCATATCTATTTTCTTTTTTCTATTTTCTTCTCCCTTTTCTTGTAAACCAACCACGTCTTAGGCTTGCTGGAAGCTTCATGGATCAATAATTCTTCTGGCCCATTAATTTTCTCTTGATCCCCATCAGAGAGAGAGAGAGAGAATATTGTTTTTTGTTTTTCTAGTGTCTCGATGCATGCATAGAAAAATGACAAGTAAGCTTTTCTGCAGGTCAAACATTGTCCCCAAAGGAGGTGGAATTCTACAGTTTTGTGGTTCTCCTTTACGTCATTGTTTGCTAAGAATGATATGGGTGTTCCATTTAGATTAAATTTTCGACCAGGATCATGTTTTGTTGACATCTGTTGCACAAATGATGGAGGATGTGCACTATGGAGAGCCTATCCTCAGGGTGAAAACAACGTAGGATTCAGCTACTCAGAGGCTAACAATCAATCACTGAAGAGGACTTTCTACCTTGTGAACAAAAAGAACGACTCTGCTATTGCTTTTGTAGATGGTGCTTTAGAGTTTGTCAGGAAGCCTGGAAGTCCAATCAAGTTCAAAGTTTTTAATGATATTACTGCTGCTTATGGTGCTTCAAATATAGCTAGCTATCCTAGAATGGCTCCAGAAACTACTCCACACACAGAAGAAGAAAGTACATCATGTCAGGGTGGTAAACTTCCTTGTATTGATATTAAAATTGAAAAAATTTCTCTGAATATTGTTCATGAACTTTCAGACACAGAGTATCTGTTCCCTCTCATTTGCTTGCTCCTCAACAGTACACAACTCATTATACAAACTTTAGCAGCAAAATTCAGGGTCATAAGTACATCAAGTGCAGTAGTACATTATTTTGATGCTGATAGAAACTTATGGTCAGTTAAATTCCCATTTGAGATCTTCCCTCCTGTACATACAGCTTTTACACACATTTCAATTGAACTAAATTCATGATATTACTTAATTTTTAACATTTTAGGGGAGAACTACTCCATCCTGTTGAAATTTGCCTTTTTTACCGATCTAATATTGAAGCTCAGCCTTCAGAATATAGATCTCATGCCGTGCCTGTTAATTTCTTCTGCAGAATGAAAGAGGTTGTTAGAGTTATATCTGATTTTTGGTTCTTTATTTTCATTTACACATTATATCTCTATTTTCTGAAAATCTATTTATCATTTTGACAGCTGGACGTTTTCTTGAATGAGAATTCATTGGATGTGCTTCTCTTTGTGATTGGGAAATTGAATCTATCTGGTCCTTATTCACTGCGAAACTCCATCATTCAAGCTAACTGCTGCAAGGTTCTAGATCTAGTACATCAATGTGTTTTTACCTTTATAAAGAAACAAGTGGACCTACTTGGTGGTTTCTCATTTTCCATTTTTGCTTAAGCTCATAATTTTTTGTTTGTGCTTCTCTTTGTCTACAACTTTTTTCACATGCCAAATAGGCTAATGTTTTAAGCTCTACCAGATTAGTGGTGCAATTGCTATAATTGTGATAAACAAATAATAATTGCTATATGGCAGGTGGAAAATCAATCAGGCTTAAATCTTCATGTTCACTATGATCAGCAAAGCATAATAATACCCAGAAAACAATCTGCCTCCATTTTACTAAGGTTTGCAATTGTAATTTGTTTACATGTTTATGACATGATCAATTGTCAAACAGTCCTTGTTCTTATGCTGGAAAGTGTAGCCTTTTTGGCAAAGTAAAGAAATTTCATTCCCACAAATTGCTATTTTCATGCATATTCTTGGCTGATTTTCATGAGTGAGTATTAATTCACAATCTTTGATTGGAGATTTGGCCATTTGATCCATGATCTTGATTTTTGCTCAGTAAGGTTGATATTTATTGGGTGGTAGCTCTTGATAAAATTGTGTTCATATTGTCTACTTCTTTGATGTTATAATGATGTTTTGGAAGGATCTCATATTTCTTTTATCTTCTTGTACACGTCTCTTCAATTTTAAGCATATGATTCGGTTCCATGTAATTAAGTTATTGCTTTTCATATTCAATATTGAAGAGAAAGTTCTTAATGTTGATTGTTGGATACCTCTGTTTCTGATGATTGTGAGTTTGTGATTTTACGTGACAGGGGGATCTCTGATTTCAAAAATCAAGATTCAGAAGCAACATCTATTTCTATCCAACTTACGGATCTTGGTTCTTTTGCAACATCTTCTAATAGTATTGTACTTTCCCGAACACAGACTCTTGCTTGGAGAACCCGGATTATGTCTACAGAAGGTTTTTCTGAACTACTTTCTTTACCATGCATTGTTAAACTGAGAATACCTAAAATGGTCTCCAGTAAATTTAATTAAGGACACTTTTTTGTTGCCATGGCAATGTTGTTTCTAGTCATCGTAGTATCTGAATTACATTTCTAATGTGTATTGGCTTCAGTGAAATATTAATTTTATTACCATATCTTAATCATTTTCGACATGCAATATAAATGTGATTATCTGACCATAATGGACATTTATTGATATTATTATTTTACTAATAATAGTATGCTGTTTCTTAACCATGGTTGGAGGTAGTTGCGTTTAAGGATGTTGTATGTTGTATATATATGTGGTTTATTTATAGCTTGGCATATTTGAGACCTTACAAATCAGCAAAGACTGTCCTTATTTATTGTTTTTCATTATTCAATGAGCAGGTTCAAGAACTTTCCCCGGGCCAATAATTGTGGTTAACATTACTAGAAATTCAGAGGTATCTGCAATGTCATTGTTCTGCATGCATATAATTTCTTGCACTTGTAAGTGGGATTAATATAAGTTTTAATGGGAATTATATAGAGTTAAATAGTTAAATAGCATGAAAAATAATATATTACAATAAACAATATAAATTTCAAATTTAGTAAGTAATATTCAATAACTTACTTTCATTTTATTTATAAATTTAGTAATTCAATTAGATAGAAAAGAAAATTGTTAAGAGTATATATTATTAAAGCAGATGCTATGGTGGACCACTCTTTCATATGTTCCATCGCGAACTAGTGAAATTAACCTGGTACAGAGGATTTTTTGTCCATATAAACATTTACTTTAGGTTAAAATGACATTTTTACCTTGTAAATAAAGTAGGCAACCCTAGAGTGATGACGAATTGGAGGTGTGAGTGACACCACCAACAACAAAGATGGCAAATAATTTTGAAAATAGACAAAAGTTTAAGTGTGTTACAATCTGAGTGACGGAAATCTCAAGGTAAATTTAAAAGGTTGAAGGTGATGTTGATAGAAACACATTTTGTTTGTCTTTTCTTCTTAATTTTGGGACATATATTTTGGCTGTATTAATGGAATGAAGGTGGAAGGTTGCTGGAAAGGATGAGAGGGAGCATATGTGCCTTTTCCCATTCTTGAAATTGTTGGCCAAATGTGTCAAAAAATAAATATTATTGTTAAGGTTCCAACATAAAACCAATTGGCAATATGTGGAGTAGCCTAACATGTATTTAAATCATACCAAATTATATGAGATAGGCGATGTGGGACTTTCAACACACCCCCTCCAACGAAGCCTGCCGGACCAGGCAAATGGTACTTTTGACCCAACTAAAGGGCAACTTTTGGCCCATGACAATAACCGGAAAGATGTTAGGCTTTGACTCTGATACCATGTTAAGGTTCCAACATAAAACCAATTGGCAATATGTGGAGTAGTCTAACATGTATTTAAACCATACCAAATGATATGAGGTAGGCGACGTGGGACTTTCAACAATTATTAAAAAATTAGAAACCACTCTAACTGATTTAACAGGTTGCACACAATTTATCTTTACCTTTCAATTTTTTGAGTAAATGTCATGGTGAGTGTAAAGTTGTTCACGGTGGAACACATGAAATATATATGTAAATAAATAAAAGGAAACATAATTGACTGCCTGTATGTGTCATGTATATATTCTACGTCTGAGATAGAGTGTCTCATCTACATCTTTATTTTTTATCAGGTCGGTCTGTCGGTTGTGGTTTCACCTTTGATTAGAATACATAATGGAACTGGATTTTCAATGGAACTTCAATTCCAGCGGCTTGAGCCAAAGGAAGATGAGTTTGCATCTTTGTTGTTAAGACCAGGGGATTCTATTGATGATTCTATGGCTATGTTTGATGCCATAAACTTCTCTGGGGGAGTAAAGAGGGCTTTAACTTCTTTAAGTGTTGGTATACACTTTCATCTATATGTACTTTTATTGATTTCTATTCCTTTTCATTCCACACAACTTTTCTCCAATATGCTGTTCTCTATTATTCACACTTAGAAGTCATAATTATATTTTTCAAATACTATTCTATCTGTTCACTACTCTAATGCATTATTTTACTATGCTAAAGTAAATAAGTGTGTATGTGACTGCTCTTGGTATTGGTAGCTCTTCTACGCTACTGGTTAATAATGCTGCATTTGCTCTCATTCTCAAATTTATTATTCTGATATACATAAACACCAGAAAAAGGAAGAATTTTTAGCACAAGGGTCCTCGAGTCATTAGGTTTAGTATCAACTGAAATTATAAATTTAGTATTAGGGAAGGAGGAAAAAAGGAAGGACATATAACACTGATTCCATTTCTGGTATGAGTGTATGATACAATTTTCTACTCTATTATTCTTATACTAATAATTTGCTCAAGTACTATTACTAATAGTACAAGCCAGTACCAGTCTACCCAGAATAACAATAATAGCCTAGTAACCCTGGCCTAATATCTTTGTCTCCTTCAATATATAGTTACAAAGCTAAAGTTTGTTACAAGTAGCAATTCCTCCATGAGGGAATGAAATTGATCCTTGAAATAAGAACGTCCGGTTGCGTTATTCACACTGGTGACAGTCTGCCAATTTGGCACACATGGTGTACTTTTAGTTGGCAGCATTTTAGGATTTGACCAATCTTAAGGGTTGAGAACCCATTTATGGTGCCACCAATCTGCTCGGAGCAATTTCATTTGTGGATGGCGGTGGTTGATGATAGCAAAGTTTTCAGAAATAGAATAACGGTTCAATGAAAGCATTGACTAAGGTGCAATTATGGAAACCCTAAGGCTGGCCTGGTCCACATGGAAGCAAGACCCCTAAGATCGGGAGCCTTGTTACAAACTTGAAAAAAGATGGCCGAATTTTGTTTTCTAATATTACAAAGCGGGTTTAGTTTAACTAAAACCTATAAAATCAATTTAAGGTGAAGATTGTCACACTTTTATATTGTATGCCAAATACATTGGCTTGGTACGTAGACAACATGGTGAGTAACTTGTAATGGATCTAGGATAAATATTGATACCATATTGAAAGAAAATTATATTGATATTGAATATTTGTTTCTTAAACTGAATATTCTCCACCTTCTCAACCTCCCAAGAATCTGGTATTTTGCAACCATGTATTCCCCCTTTGCTACTTATTGCCGTCACCGACAAGCCGAATTTCCACAATGATTCTCTCCTATGAAAATGATATTTTTTTTGCTTTACAACGCCGTGAAACCTGACTCTTTGTTTCTCTTCCATCCCACAGAAATCCCATAGTATGCAAATGAGTTTTTAGAGTAAAAGAAAATCATGATGGTACTGTACAGAGTATATATGACGATTGTTTGCTAAGGGATTCAATCAACAACCTATATTTGATTTTAATGGGATCTTTTCTCCAGTTATTAAACCTATCTCTATTCGGAGTATTCTTATGCTGGCTCTTACTTTAATGCTTTTCCCAATGAGGAAGTTTATATGGTGCAGCCATTAGGTTTTGAAGCAACTAATACTTCCCTTGTTGTAAACTTTATAATGTCATTTATGGTCTAAAACATCCTCCACGTGCGTGCATTGATAGATTTAAAACAATATTAATGTAATTTGGGTTCAGAGACAGAAAATGTGATCCTTCTTTATTCATCTATAGTCATCAATCATATGTTGTATATATGTTGGTATATATTAATGATATAACTTTCACAGGCAACACTCCTTTTCTTCATCATATTATTAAGAAAATCGATTTTGTATTGTTTCTAAAACAACCTATAGAAGTTCGTCCTCAATCCATTGGGTCTTCTCACTCTAACTAAATACATTAAGGATCTTCTTGCCAAGACCAACATGCTTCCGACTAACCTATCTCTTCTTTGATTTCTGGTTGTGAACTTTCTAAACAGGATTTTGATTTGTCAGTGAATCCATCATTTTATATATTTGTGGTGGGTGCTCTTCAATATCTCAACATCACTTGATTGGAAATATGTTTTTCAGTTAACAAAGCTTGTCAGTTTATATTAGCTTCTCTTGCGTCTCATTTGATTCCTGTAAAACAAATACACTTAGATATCTAATAGGAACTTTTTATTGTGGTATACAAATTATTCTAGTTGTTGGTAATCAGCCCATGGTGATTCAAGCGTATTGTGACATAGACTGGGTTGCTGACCCAGATGATCCATGGTCTACCTTTGGAGCTACAATATTTCTTGGTCCAACTTTGTTTTCATGGTGGCTTGGTAAGGGAATAGCTTGCTAGATCCAATACAGAAGCAAAATATCAAAGCCTTGCCTCAGCCTTCTCCGAAATTCTATGGATTTAAACACTACTTAGTGACCTAGCTATTCCTCATTCTGTTCTTATTCTTTATTATGATAATGTTAGTGTTAATCTTCTCATAATTCCATTCTAGTTGTCAAGAAAATCACATGGAACTTGATATTTTTTGGGTTAGAGAGAAAGTGCTTTTCAAGAAGCTGATTTCTAGACATATTCCTGGACATGATTAGTGGACAAATATTCTTACTAAACCTCTATCTCTTACAAGATTTTTTATTTATTTCAAAGATCCAAGCTTGCCGCGATGATCTAAAAAACTGCAGCTCACCCACCTTAAGCTTGTGGGAGTTGTTTGAGATATTTCGTTGAAGTTATATAAGTTGTAACTAACAATATATTAGAGATTTTTCTCTTTTGTTTGTTATCAGTTGTAACTGACTGTTCTATTGTTTCTGTTTTCAGTTGTAACTGACATGATTAGTCAATTACAATAAAACTACTTGTCTACCTGTTAGTAATTCTCTTATTTATATATAGGACTCTGTAATGAATTACTTGTTATTTAGAATGTACCTATTCAATTCAATATAATTTTCTTCCAATTTAAGAAAATCTTACAAAGTGGGTTTAGCCTAATTCAACCCTATAAATCTAACTTGTAAGGTACGGATTGTCCCCACATATATTTTATTTTATTTTTATACTTTCTCTGGTCGATGTGGGACTTGAGTTTTTCCCAATATCTAATTTTGGTGATTATAGATGTTGCCTTCAGGTCATATACATAAATTAAATTTAATCTAATTAAGATATTGCAAGAGAATATAAACTTTACAAATAAAGGCTGATCAAATTTGTCCTAATTATGGAAATAAATCTGCTCTATTTATTGTAATTATGCTACACAACTTGCTCTTTTGTGGTTGTTTTTTTAGATGTATCATCAGTAGGTTAAGTTGAATATCATGTTATGTCTTTGATCACTATTTTATTATTTTGCTGTTGATATATATGTTTTCCTTGGACGGATCTGTCATAATTTGTTTTTCTAAGAATTAGTAGTATCATTAAACCTTTATCCTGAGATGATGTCGTTTAATGATTAATTTTCAGGTAACTTCTTATTTTCATTTAGACCCAAAATAGCAGAAGAACTGATTAATTCTGAAAGTTCTCTTTCTCTGGAATGGTCGGATTATATTAAAGGTGGAAAAGCTGTTCATATATCAGGAATATTTAATAAATTGAACTGCAGAATTCGCAGGGCATTATTTGAAAAATCAGTGAAGTGTTCCTTTAGCACATCACATTGCACCCTTAAGTCTGAGAGGGTGAGTGTTGCCAATATACATTTTCTCATTCAAACAGTTGCTAGGGATATCCCTGTTGCACCTGAACAGTCTGCCACGGTGTTGAAAAATGAGAATCCTACAGTTTCATTGCTAGAGCAGAAAGAAATATATCTTCTTCCTACTGTACGGATGACCAATTTGTTGCATTCTGAGATAGATGTCATTCTAAGTGAAACAGGTATAGAAATGAATGTTTTCACAAATGTATTACTTTTAATTCTGTATTAATGTTTAATGTTAATTATGTGAAGATCAGTCAAATCTGGTTGGACATGACAAAGTTGGGAAGCAGGCACTTATATCATGCGGTTCAACAATTGACTTTTATGCCAATCTAGAAGTTATATACTTCACTGTGACTCTAACTTCTTCTAATTCAAGTTCCAAGCCAGTAAATAGTGGCGACTGTATGAAGTTTCTGAAACAGAACAATGATGTCCATTATCTGGATATAAATTTGGACTTTGATGGAGGAAAATTTTTCGCAACCTTGAGATTATACCGTGGAAACAGGGGCGTACTGGAGGTTATTCTGCTAGCTTTTGCTTTCATTCTGTTGAATATATATATATATATATAGATAATCTAGTTTCTTATGACTCCATGGAGCTGTTTTCAGGTTGTCATTTTTACATCCTATTCCATTAAGAATGATACAGACTTTCCAATATTTGTTCTTGAAACTAAAAGATCTCCTTTATCCAGGTTATTCCCACCCTTTTAGACAAATTAACAGAAACATTAATAGCATCTTTATAGATTCTTGACATTTTGTTTGGCTCTCCATGTACAGAATTGAATTAGAGAATTTAAATCTGAGGACTCCTTCAGAGCTAGGATTATGTTTGCCACCAAAGTCAACTAGTTCATGGTTCTTGAAGTAAGACGAGTTATTATCTGTCAATCAATGGTTTAATATGTTAAAAAATGCTACCTAGATTTACCTGTTTTATTATGTTCTTTATCTTTATAGTGTCTTACTGTTCTATCTGTTTCTAGATCTGAAAAAGTGCTGCTGAAATTGCTGGAGGACCATAGATCCGAGGCTCTGCTTGACTTCGGCTCTTTATCAGGCCTAGCAGAAATAAGCTTTGAGAAAGAAGACGGATCTGGGATTAAATCTGTAACAAAACTTGGAATTTCTATAGGTCCTTATTCAAGAGAAATTGTTGTGCCATCACAAATGGTGACTTTGGTTCCACGGTATGTTATTTGCAATGAATCTGAAGAATGTATCACTGTTCGCCAATGCTATTTTCAGGTATGCATTAAGTATGTACCTGTTTATATTTGTGCATGTATCTCTCTCCTCATTAAGTGATTTGGCTGTCTTCAAGGATGAGGTGGCAGGTGTTATCTCCATTAGCAGCAAACAGCGAATGCCACTCCAGCTGAAGGAAGGATTTAAAAAGAGGAAAGAGTTCAGTGTATTTGAGCATTTTATCAGAAAGCACAGAAGTTCAAGTGACAATACCTTATTATATATTCAGATTCAATTAAATGAGGCTGGATTGGGATGGTCTGGGCCAGTCTGCATAGCCTCACTAGGGCATTTTTTCCTGAAATTCAGAAAACAGCCTAATGAAGTTACAATATCAGACAACAAAATGACACAATTCGCAGTTCTGCATGTGGTGGAAGAAGGTTCTACACTTGTTTCAAGATTTTACAGGCCCCCAAATATGAGTCTGCCTTATCGAATTGAGAATAATTTGCAAAGTCTATCAATAACTTACTATCAAAAGGTGCATAAGAAATTTGTCTATTATATATTTTCAGCTGATCATTTGACCTTCTTTCCCCATCATCATTTGAGAAATTTCCAGGGTTTGTTGGAGCCAGAGGTTCTTGGACCTGCATGCAGTGTTGATTATGTCTGGGATGATTTTACCCTTCCTCGAAGATTGGTTATCCGCATCAATGGTTGTCATTTGAACCTTGTCATAGACACTTTAAGCTAATGATTCTTGGTATAGCTAATGCTGGAGTGGTCCTTATGATTGGGAAAGTTAAAATTTAGCAAAGCTTGGTAAAAATAGTTCCAATTAATGAATATTGACCACTTCAATGATCAAGTCTGCATGAGATTAGTGTCAAAATTTTGGTTGACCTAAACTAATTCCACAAAAATGACTCTTAAGATGACGATAGCTCGAACTTTTTAGCTTTATTTAAATCATGACTCTAGTTAATGTGGGGCTAAACTACCATCCCTGTGGGACTAAACTCTTGTTTCAGTTTGAAGTAATAATGGTATTAGAGGGTTTATGTTTAATAGCATTATTTGATTTTTGTTGTAGATAGCCTTCAATTACGAGAGATTAAGTTGGATAAGGTGCGAGCATGGAAACCCTTTTGCAAACTTGGGCAACAAAGGGTATTGTCTCCCCGTTTGCTTTTAGACAAAATATCAAGAGATCAGATGATGAGTTTCAGTCACCGTAATGGCCATGAAATGGAAAAAGTAGGGTATGAAATATATGCAGATGGACCAACCCGAGTTTTGCGAATTTGTGAGATCTCTAATAGTTTCAAGAGAGATGCAGTTCTTGAATTGTGTGCAAAAATTCAATTGAGAGTTTCTCAGTTTGCAATTCACCTACACGAACATGTAAAACAGGTATTCTTGCTTTTTATTAGGTGTTTTAATTTGTCAACATCTACTATTTGTTGATTGTCATTGAAGTTGAAATTTCCATGTTTGATATTTATGAGTAATGTGTGAAGATAATTTAGTTTTGGAACAAAAAGCATATATTCCCTCTTGATTGCTATCGTGTCATTCTCAATGTTTTTATTAAAGATATGATTTATGTTAGAGATATAATTTGATTAAATTAAATAAGAAGATATGATATGATTTTCTTAGGAAATATTTCACCAAATATTTTCCATTATTAGATATTATTTTTTATCCTTATTATTGTATCTCCTTTTCATTATACATAAGAATACTTATGTGTGTACTTAAGACACGAAATTTTGTATATTCTTTTTCAGTTTCTTTCTTCTCAATATGGTAGTAGAACGGTTTCATTCTCCATGAAATGTTTGGTCACTAGTCCTTTGAATAGTTTCAAAGTAAGTAATTTGTACAATTTGAGTATCCTGTTGGAAATATAAATTAGTATCTATTATTAGAGTTTATTACAGTTTACTAGAGCATCGTTGAAAATCCTATGGTTATAAGTTTTAATTATAGATTTTAGTGGACAGTTAAAGTTTTAATGGGTAGTTTTGTTTTTTATTTATCTTCATATTAATAGGCATAATTGTTATCAATTTTTAGTTCTATTTGATTGTATTTAATAGTTATTAAGAGTTCTACAAAATATCCAAACACTTACATTAAGAGTTGAAAATGCAATATGATAATTTAGTCTTTACACTACCAATTTTTTAGGGTGAAAATTACCACCTATGAGCAGTTAGAATGGAGGTTTTTCTTGATGCAAGTGATCTTTGGGACGTTGAACCATTACCAGATAATCCAATTCTCAATCAAATAAAGAATCACAAAGCAAAAATGCAGTGAAAATCAAAGGCAATGTCTTGGCTATTTTTTGGTATTTCTCTAACAATATTTAACAAATTGTCAATTTGAAGTTAACAAAGGCCATTTGGGATTTTCTCAAACAAGAATACGAAGGAAATGACATAATCAAAGGGATGCAAGTGCTGAATTTGATCAAGGAGTTTGAGATGTAAAAGATTATGAAAGAATAAAAATAAATGAAAGAATATGTTGACAGACTTTTAATTGTTGTCAACCAGGTGAGGTTGCTTGGGACAAAATTTTTTAATACAAGGATAGTGCAAAAAATCTTTATGACTGTTCTTGAGAGATTTTAATCCACTACTTTTTCTTTTGAAAAATTCCAAAAATTTGTCAAATTTCAATTTGGTAAAATTGTTGTATGTCTTGTAAACTTAAGAATAAAGTAGACTCATGAGGGAGAAAGACATGATTGAAGGTGTTTTACAAGCCAAACTGAAACTTGGTTACAAAAGATAGTTTGAAAAGAAGGCTCAAGGGAGCTACTTTGTGCTAGGAGAAATTTCTATAGGTGGTAAAGGAGAAGAAGATGAGAAGTCAAATCATCCTCTTTGTCAACACTGTGGAAAGGGGGACCATCCTCATCAAGATGTTGGAAGAGACCCAATATATGCCGCAACCATCTTGGTTATATTGCAAAAATTTGCAAAACAAACCGTAGTCTCAAACTGAGGCTCAAGTGGTTGATTAACAAAAGAAAAAAAGAGGAAGAACAATTATTTGTAACAATTTGTTTCGTCAACAACAACAATAGTGAGAGTTGGTTGATTGACAAGGAGATGTACACATCATATGACCTGTGATGAAAAATTGTTCAAGTAGTTGGATAGAACAACTATTTCAAATGTCAGACTTGGCACAAATGTCTGACCTGACAATGGAGTATGCATAGCTGTAAAAGAGAGGGATAAAGTTGCAATTAAAGTTGCTCAAATACAAAAATAATCAGTGATGTACTTTTTGTACTAGATATTAATCAAAATTTGTTGAGTGTTCAAGGTCAAAATGAATGAAAAAAGTTTCTCTTATAGATCTAATGGAGGGGATGTAATGTTAGGGGAACCATATACTTTTAGATATTTCTGAAACTGTTGTTATGTTAGAACTTGTAGATTCTTTTTGAAGCAAAAAAAGGATCTAAAGTGGACTATTGCAATACAAGAGGAGCTTAACATGATTGAAAAAAAATCAAATTTGGGAATTAGTTCCTAGATCCTAAAACAAAAATGTTATTGGTGTTAAATAGGTGTTTAGAACCAACGCATATGGTTTCATTAATAAGCACAAGACCAAATTTGTAGTGAAGGGATATGCTCAAGTATTTGGAGTTGATTTCTCTAAAGCATTTGCTCTTGTTCTTGCTTTTGTAGTAAAAAAGGGATGGATATTGTTTCAACTTGATGTAATTTGAGAAAAACTCAGAGTCAATAGCTACTGATATAAGGAGCGTTGGAAAATGAATCAATATGGATCATTAGTGTTTGTTATAGTTTAGTAGAGCATTGTTGAAATTTCTATTGTTAAAAGGTTTTAAGTATAGGTGTTAATGGGTGATTAAAAGTTTTTATGGGTAATTTTATGTTTGATTTATTTTCAAATTCATGGGTGTAATTGTTATCAATGTTTAGTTTTATTTGTATTGTATTTAAAGGTTGTTGTGCCCTTCATAAATACCAAATTGTGTTATCATAGTTAATGATTTATCTTAGTGTTCAGCTTAATTAAGTATGAAATGCAATAGCTGATGTATCCCGTTTTGGTTAAATGGTGGTATAATTAAGGGTTACAACTGAGGTACTCGTGGTTCAGGGATGTTTCTTTTTAGAGTTGTCAAAACGAGTAGTCCAACCCAGTCTGGCCTGGTCTTACGGGCCAAGTAAAAAATTCTGATGATCCAGCTTGTTTAATATTTTTAAACGAACCATAATATTTTGCTTAGCTTGATTCTATGTTAAGCTAACGGGTTAACGAGTCACTTTTGGCATGATTGAAAATAATAAAAAAATTATGAACGTATTTATATAAAACAATTAATTAAAAACTATTTAAATAAAAATTTAAATATATTTTAAAAATTTAAATTATATTAATGAAAATAATTTTTAATTCAAATATAATGATTTAATATATAAATTATAAGAGAAGTAGCTAAAATAAAAGTTAAAAAATTACTCTTTATTATCATTTGTTAAGGTTTCAATATAAAACCAATTGGTAATATAAGGAGTAACCTAATATGTATTTAAACCATACTACATGACATGAGGCGAGCGATGTGGGACTTGCAACACACCCCTCCAACGTAGCCTGCCGGACCAAGTAAAAGGTGTTTTTGACCCACAACGAAAGGACAACTCTTGGCCCGAGAATCAATTAGAAAGAAGTTATGCTTTGACTTCCACAATCTCATAAGCAAGATGGGAATGGAGAATATTTATTCCTTAGCTTGAGAGGGGGTGTCGAAATATGGGTGTAAGTATTAAACATTTATTGTATAATAAATATAGGTTTACTTGAATGAAATCCCTAAAATTAAAAGATTTGGATTAGGAGTTTATTTGGTAGACTTGCTCCTAATTTATAATCTTTATTCCAGGAGATATATTTCATTTTCCTTTAAATACCCATGTTATAATTTTTCTGAATCAAGAAAAATAATTTCGTAATTATTATTTACTACTTACACAATTTCTCACATCATCATTTATTTTCTAGTGATATTTTACCCTAAAATAATAATTCATCTTAATCATGTCTTGGTCTCTCCTGATCTCACTACTAATCTCATTTCTATTGGTCAATTAGTTGATAATAATTGTCATGTCAAATTCTCAAACTCTGGTTGTCTTGTGCAAGATCAACGATTAGGGATGATGATTGTGAAGGGGCCTAAAGTTGGACGTCTTTTTCCACTTCATTTACCTTTGTCTTCCAGTCGTGGCATACCTTTTATTTCTTGTAATTCTGCCCATTTAGATTACCATATGTGGCATAAGCGTCTTGGACATCCAAATTCACATGTACTTCATACTATGCTTAAATCTGGTTTTCTTGGCAATAAAGATTCTTAACCTTTTCATGTTGATTTTGATTGCAGTTCTTGTAAGCTTGACAAAAGTAAAATTCTACCATTTCCAAAACATAAATCTATTGTCGGAAAACTTTTTGATATAATCCATAGTGATGTATGGGGGATAGCCCCTGTGAGAAATCAAATAGTATTTTAGGAAAGAATAAATAAGGAAATTTGTATATTTCCTTGTAATCTGTACAGATTTGAATAATTAGGAACAATCCCATAAATCAAGGGATCCTAGCATAAAATAGAGTTATTATATTTCCTAAAATAGTTTAGGTCTCTTGTATATATCTTATATCATCTCTTTATATTGAAATAATAAAAAAATCATATTTCAGCTTAATCTATTTTTCAAGATGGTATCGAGCTTCCGATCTAGGAAGTTCTGTCCGTGCTCGATAAACCCTAAGACGGCAGCACTGCATTGCCGCTGCATATTTTGTAACCCTAAGACGGCGACTCGCATTGCTCGCGCATTTTTCTTAACCCTAAGACGACAGACCTACATTGTTGCCTGCATTTTTCTTAATCCTAAGACGACGACCTGCATTGCTGCTTGCATTTTTCATAATCCTAAGACGACGACCTGCATTGTTGTTGCATCGCACCTTTTGCTATAATGTCAAGGGAAGAGGAGATAGAAAGGGTGAAAACCATTCTTAGTAAGTCGGAAAAACCTACGGGTATGTGTTCTTTGGCATACTCGGGTAAGTTTCCACCTTCTTTTGGATTAAATGTCTTAGATACGCCTTTTAACCATTATTGGATATTGGACTCTAGAACCACAGATCACATGACACCATTAGCCAAACACTTCTCCACATATTCCCCATGTCCCGAGCAACAAGAAAATTGCCACAGCGAGATGGAACCCTTATAGCTGCAGCTGGTCAAGGAAATATCCAAATCAATCCTTTAATAACCTTAAAAGACGTTCTCCATGTCCCAAAGTTGTCCACGAACCTAGTGTCTATACAAAAACTTA